GACAGCTGGCACATCATGGGTGTTCAGTAACGTTTGCTGAGAGAGAGAGGGAGTTCCTTACACTTCACCGGCCCAGAGCCTGGTCCTAAGACTAACCTGATTCCAATCCCAGCTCTGCTACCCGGTGACGGGCCTCAGTTTGCTTGTCTGTAAAGTGGGCAGCAGCATCCTTTGCAAAGCAATAACGATAACAAGAGCAACCAAGGGCTGTTGAGCACTGACGTCATGCCGGGTGCAATTCTGAATGCAGTAATAATTCTTTAAGCCTCACAGTGATCTTGCAAAGCAGGTGCTGCTGTTTTCCACATAAGTGGAAAATACATCACACACACACCCTTGGCCTGGGCGGATAGGAGGCAGATACCCCATGCACTGCCTGGGGTGACACGTGCAGATGAGTAAAGGGCTTGGCTGGGCTGAGCACCCAGGACCCACCCCCACCCTGGTGTCTGTCACTGTGCAAGCAGGTGCGGAGGTACCAGGTGTTGCTGTCACTGATGCTCTCCAGCCAGACCAAGGACCAGGTGACAGCAGGCGCCATGCAGCGGCTGCGGGCCCGGGGCCTGACGGTGGACAGCATCCTGCAGATGGATGACAGCACACTGGGCACGCTCATCTATCCTGTGGGCTTCTGGAGGGTGAGCCCAGCCCGTGGCAAGTGGGGCTGCGGGTGCCACTGGCCTGCGAAAGATGTCAGACTGAGTGGGCTGTGGGGTGTGGGAGGCCGGGGCGGGCATCCCTGGCCATGGGGGCCTGGCTATGAGTTCCCACTGGAGCACCGCCCCGCCCCTGCCGCTCTGACCAGCCCACAGGGGGCCTGGCCATGGGGCCTCAAGTCCAGGCACTGGAGCTCCTTGGCCTTTCCTGTTTGCAGCCCACCCCTTCCTTCCTCCACCTCCCTTCCCAGACGCCTGGCCCTTCTCTTCCTCACTAAGGCTGCCCACCCATCTATCCCTTTGTTTACTCCAAGCCTCCCTGGAGTACACAACCCCTCCCCTCTAGAGCCCCAACAGGCCACAGAGTACAGGGTGGTGGGTGGGCGGGTCTGTTGAAGGCAGCCGGGTGAGTGGAGCTACTTCCCCTTGGCACTGGCGTGGGCTGCAGTTCATCAGATGGGTTTTAAATAGCCCTGTCCACTCAGGCACAGGATGGGAACCGCCCGGCTGGCCTGGCGGCTGGTGGGGGAGCCCCAGGCTCCAGCCTTCCTTCCTGAAGGCCCAGGTGCTGTTGAGCCCAGCTTCTGGCTTAGCTGGTCCTGCTTAGCCTGCCTGGTCTCTGGTAGGGAATGATGGGGCAGGGAGACTCAAGCCTGACCCCACGCACGTGTTATTGGCCCCAGGCAAGTGGGAGGCAGGCCTGCATTGGGCCTTCCTTGGGCTCTCCTGCCCTTGGCTTGTTCCCACCTCCTGGGGGGACAGAGGCAGGCAGGTGCCTCTGAGTGTGTCCTGGACAGCTGGCGGGTAGCTCTGGGCACCTGTGGGTTTCCTCTGGGCCTCGTCTTCCCAGGTCGTGCTATACTCCTGACCTCCAGCGCTGACCCCCGCAATCTTTCAGAACAAGGTGAAGTACATCAAGCAGACCAGTGCTATCCTGCAGCAGCGCTATGATGGGGACATCCCAGCCTCCTTGGCAGAGCTGGTGGCACTGCCAGGCGTCGGGCCCAAGATGGCGCATTTGGCCATGGCAGTGGCCTGGGGCACTGTGTCAGGCATTGGTGAGTGGCATGCGCCCACAAGGCAGGAGTGGCCGGCTCCAGGCTTGCTGGCTGCCATTGAGGTTCCCCCATCCTTGTGACCAGTAACCCCAGCTCAGGTCTCCTCATTCACAACTCAGCCCGAAGGGTCAGAAAGGTGTTCCCAGCCCAGAGCTAGGCCCACCCCACCCAGAGATGGGTACTAGCAGGAGGAGTTCCTGTTTGCTGAGGAGCTCCTATAGCATGCTGGCCTCTGGGAGAGGCCCTAGATGGACTCGGGTCTGTGCTGCATGAGGAAGAGAGACACTGGGGTAGAAACACTGATGGGGGCATGCAGGGCACCTTTGGAGTTGGCCTGGTCTGGGGCATTTGGGAGGACTTCCTGAGGAGGTGATAATTCAGCCAAGAGCTGAAGGGTGAGGTGGGCTGGCCAGGCCAAGAGGAGGAAGTGCATTTCGGGCAGAAGGAACAGCATCTGCAAAGCCGTGAGCTGGGGAAGAGGGCCAGAGCACAAGGCTCTGGAATGAGCGTGGGCAGAGGGGGCAGGTGCAGTGCAGACATGGGGACCCGGGGTGAGGAGGAAGCGGCTGGGGGGGCCTTTCCTGGAATCCCTGTCCTGGGTCCTTGTGTTGCATTCTGGCATTGGAGGAGCTCTGAGTGGAGACAGACCCCTGGGTCGGGGTGGGACTGCTTCCTCAGATCTTTGCCCAGCGAGTGGGGGCTTCTGAGGCTGCACAGCACAGGCCCAACCAGCCCGGAAACCAGGGCTTGACCCATGACCTGCTTGTGTGTTCCCACCGTGGTGCTTCTCAGGGACTCATGCAGAGGAGCCAGGAGAGGTGGTGGGGATCCCCCCAGGGCTTCCGAGGCTTGTGAAGCCTGCCCCCTGGGGTAGGGACCCCTTCCCTGCAGTGCCCGCCAGAGGAGGAGGGCTCTGCCTACCTGATGAGGTTGGAGTCCAGAAGCCCTGAAAAGTGGGAGCCAGGCCAGGCGGGGCCCGGGCAGAGCCTCCCTCACTGGGCTCCTGCGGCTGCCGGCCTCTCAGCAGATACTTGAGCTTATCTGGGCGGCTGTCCTCGGCTGCCCGTGTCTAGGAGTGGTCTGGCAGGTCTGTGGGGGAAGGGCCCCCACCTGCAGCTGGTTGCAGCAGTCAGGAGTGTGGGAATGCTGCCCTATCTGGTTGTCTGTGGGCCAGGCCACCTGCAGGGAGATCCTAGGGAGGGTGGGCCCCACTTCCCAGGGGGTTTCCTGAGAGAAGAAGCCCCCTCGAGTAGAGAGCCAGAGCCATGGGATACAGCAGCCGATCCCAGCTCTGCCCTCCCAGCTGGGTGACTCTGGGCAATGCACTTGGCTTCTCTGAGCTGGGCCACAAAGCAGGGGAAGTAGTTGCTCCCATTAGAGGCACAGGTGTGCAGAGCCCTGCTGGACAGGCCCACAAGTGTGGTGTGGCCCTGGGCTGGGCTTCTGGGTAACTTAAGGGCATGGTCACCTATGTGTTACAGAGAAAGAAACTGAGGCTTGGTGGTGATCCAGGGGTGTGGCTTCTCCATCTGCATACTCTCCCTGTGCCCCTGTTATCGCTGTTTGGGGCAGGCCCGAGCCTTTTTCTAGGCAGCCAGCAGCAGGGGAAGTGGGCCAGTGCAGGAACTCGCTTTCTCTTCGGCAGACACATAGGAGGAGGAGGCAGGGGCTGCATCTGGCTAGGGGAGGGGGCCTTGGTGAGCAGGTGCCCAGGCCAAGCCCCAGGGTGGCCGGCCACGGGGAGCCGGGGCTGCGGTCGGGTGCACAACAGCTGCAGCTGGCCTGGCCGCACTCCCCTCTCTGTCCCTGATGGTGCAGTGGCAGGTGCTGGCTCTGCAGGCAGTGAGTTCATGCCAGCCCACTAGGTCAAGCTGCTGCCACCCAGCCTAGCACCCATGGCCGGTGCCTGGGCCAGGAGGCACTGCTGCCTGCACCCCAGGAAAAAGGCCCAAGTCCTCTGGATCTGACTCCAGCCCCTGCCTAGCAGCAGGGATGGCCCATGTGACTCTCTCTCAGGCCTGCGCAGTTCTGGGTCCTCCTCAGAAGCCGGCGGGGGTTGGGGAGGTGTGTAGGGGGATTCAGGCTTCAGACTCAGCCCCCCACCAACCCGCACTGGGAGCCGTGGCAAGGATGGGGCAGTCTGGCCCGGTGAGCCTGCCCCGTGTTCACCCTGCCCCGTCTCCAAGCAGCAGTGGACACACACGTGCACAGAATCGTAAACCGACTCAGATGGACCGGGAAGGCAACCAAGTCCCCGGAGGAGACCCGTAGGGCACTGGAAGAGTGGCTGCCCAGGTGTGCAGGGTTGGGGTGGGGCAGGGCGGGCTCCCCTCCCTCCCACCCTCCCTCCACACTCATGGCTCCCACCCCCACAGGGAGCTGTGGAGCGAGATCAATGGACTGCTGGTGGGCTTTGGCCAGCAGACTTGCCTGCCCCTCCACCCGCGCTGCCAGGCCTGCCTCAACCAGGCCCTGTGCCCAGCTGCACACGGACTCTGAGGGCCTGGGGCCTCTGCCCGGCACCACTCTGGCCTCTTTGTGCCTTTGCTGGAGAGCCATAGCCTGTTTATAATAAAGTTTGGGGGCTGTTTGTAGTTAGGGTCTGGCTGATTTCTACCCCGGGGGGTGGGAGGCGGCATGCTGGAAAGCACATGCATGAGCTGTGTTTGCACCCGTGCTCACGTGTCTGGAACAGGGCTGCCTGGGAGGCCAGGATGGGGACGTGACCATCTGGACTGAGTGCTGGGGGGCAGGGGTGGCGGGGGGGTCGTGGGAGCCAGTTGCAGCCAGCTGTCTGGAAGCCCGCTGGGGACGTTGGAAGCCCAGGCTGCCTCCCGCAGCAGCTGGCTGGGGACCTGGAAACACACGCCCCTTCCTGAACTTGTGCACCCTGAGAGCCCCAGCCTCTGCCACGAGGGCCCCACCCTCAGTGTTTACAGAGCCACCTGGTCTCTGAGGGACACCAGCAGGCCCAGGGAGGGCACCACAGGGCACAGGGCCTGACCTGCGTGTACCTGCTGGGGGGCCAGGGGCCCAGAAGGCTTCACAGGGAGGTGCTGGTGAGAGGGCAGGGTTCCGAAGCACAGGGGTCCCAAGTGCGCTGGAGAGATAAGCAAGAGGGAGCCGGAGCTGAGAGGGGCTAGCGGATGGATTTGGGGAGGGGAGGCTTAGGAATGGGACTGTTTCCAGCAGCTGAGACTTGGGGAGCTGCAGGCTGCCACCTCCCTGCCCAGACCATGACCCCCTCCAACCCCCAAAATGAAGGCTCAGGAAGGACAGAGACAGCCAGGGTCCAAGGAAGGCCTGTTTATTCTGAAGGCGCGCATGTGCTATGGCTTATGGGGCAGACAGCGATGTCGGTCGGTCAGGTTCTGGGCAGGGGAAAGGCAGAGTCGGTGGGGTTTCCTCTGGGGGAGGCTCCTAGCAGGGGCCAAGCCCGGAGCCTGGGGTCCTTCCTGGGGACAGGCTCTCACACAGTCACACCCCAAAGGCCTGGGGGCTGCCGTGCAGGGACAAGGGGCCTGTCCAGAGTCTGCCCTCCTCAGGGGCACAGGGCCTCCATCCTCAGGCCCCTCAAAGAGCCCAGGCCCTGTACCCCAGACCGCCCCCCCCAGGGAGGGCAGGGACAGGGCAGAGGGGCAGCTCTCACAGCCACATCTGGCATCCCCAGCACCCCCCAAAGCCTGAATGAACACAGCCTGCAAGCCCCCCAACTCTGTCCCTGGCACTCCTGCTTGGGATGGCTGCTGCTGAGGGGGTGGGGAGAAAATGGTTTGCAGAGAAAGGTTTGTTTTATTGCAATTATTTAGAGAGCACGTCCTGAGGGGGGTGGGGGCAGGGCTCTGGTATTAAGTGGAAACATGTGTGGAGCTAGAGCTCTTTCTGGAAAAAAAGCAAAAACACAAATTCCTTTAAGTCAGCAGGCCCAAGCAGAGCAGCAAGGGCCGGGCCCCGCGGGTCACCACTGCCTCTCCCCCTCTCCCCCTCTCCCCCATCTTCCTCCTCTCCCTCTCCCCACATCCCATCACTGTCTCTCTGGGTATCTCACATCTCAGGGGCTCTCTCTCCCCATCTTGCTGCCACACTCCCCTAGCACCCAGTGGGTGGGGGGCAGGATGGGGTCTCACTGGGGCACAGGTTGGTTCTTGGGTGGTGGTGGGACCACCACGGCTTGGGGGGTAAGGATGTCCCCTCCAGTCCACTGAGGGGAGCTCTGGGCGGGCCCGAGGGGCAAGGCCCAAGGTCCATGCAGGAGGAGCCCGGCAGGAAACAGGCAGGGAGGGCTCAGAAGTTGCTGAAGATCTCTCGCTTCCGGTTCCAGTCCATCTGCGGTGCCCGCTTGTTGACCCTGGTGGCTCTCACCTTCTCCTTGGCCTCGGCTGCAGTGGGGCTCAGGTGGAGGCCACTCTCCTGAAAAGGGTCGCGCTTCCAGGTGCTGCCATCCTAGGGGCAGACATGGTGGATGGGTGGCCAGAGTGAGCCCTGGACCCAGGCCCCCAGACAGGTGGCCTTTCCCAGGGAGTTCACACCAGAGGCCACCTGGTGGCAGGCCCAGGAGGGCTTCCTAGAGGCGGTGGCCTCACAGCTCAGGCTGACAGCTCCACAGATGCCCGCCCCCAAGGCCTCAGGCCCCCCAGTGTGTGAACAGCAGTACAGGTGGATAGGCACCCGCTACCTCAGTGTCCTTGTCTAAGCCAGGCAGGTCACTTCGGGACGAGCACACGGAGCCACCATTGAGCTGGGAAACCAAGGGTAAGGCTTGGCTTTAGGGACCCCACCCAGGAGCCGCTGTGCACACACAGGCTTACATGCACACATGCAGACACGCGTGCACACGCCAGAGCTGCCTTTATTCCTCTATTTGGCAGTGGCCACTGAGCCTCTACTACACCCTGGAGGTGCCCGAGTGCCCTATGGCGCTGGGGTGTGGCTGACCCAAGACAGATCCAAGGGGCATCATGGCTGGGAGTGACAGGGCCAAGCTCGATCTCACAACCATGCTACACAAGGACAGAAATCTCGGAGGGGCTCTGTCAGGTCTGGGGACCCCCAAAGGTGCCCCTGTGGTCTCCTGGGCTCACCCTGTCCACTCCCACCCTCTCACCTGGGCCGAGCTGGTCCCGTTGGTGACTGGTGATGGCAATGGACCTGTGGGGACAGTGTGTCACTGGCCACTCAGCCCCCAATGCTTTACCCCAGCACTGGGCCCCAGGGCAGCCGCCCACCTTCCACATGCTCCTCGGTGGGTGTGACCCGCAGCCGCTTGAAGTGCTCATCTGTTTCGGGGTCCACCACAAGCAGCCGGGCCTCGTCCTCCCGTGCCTTGATGCTGGCAACCACCTCCGCGTGGCGCAGCCCCTCCACATTCTGCCCGTTCACCTGCCGCCGCCAGCATGGGATCAGTGCTGCCTGAGGGCAGGTCCCCACCAGCCCCCCAAGCCACTTGGCCAGGTGTGGCATCAAATATTCATCAACACTGTCACCAGCCACGGCAGCAAGAGGAGCACCAGCTCAGGTTCCCAGCATCTCCCTCCTCCCAGTGAGGACCCGGGGCCCAGACACAAACACACACACACACACACACACACACACACACACGTGGAAGGGCACAGGCATAGACAAACATACAGACACACACAGGGGACACGGGCCCAGTCACAAACAGGAAGGACACAGGAGCAGACATATACACGCAGGGCGGGTACCTCTATGAGTCGGTCCTGGGCACGGAGGCCAGAGTGGGCAGCAGGAGAGCCTGGGTCCACAGAGCGGATATACTGTCCAGGGCGGGACTTGTCACTGTGCAGGTTAAACCCGTAGCCCTGGGGGCCTTTTTGCAGGTGGCAGAGCCTCGGGCGCAGCTCCCTTAGGGGCCCATTGACATCCTGCAGGCACAGGGATGCAGGGTGAGGCTCCAGCTCTGACCTCCCACCCTAGAGGCGCTGATCCCACCCCTGAGGCCTCCAGTCCCGTCCCCAGTGAGCAAAGGCAGGAGTGGAGGTGGTGGGAGGGAGCCCCAGCCCCACACTCAGCATCATGCCCCCACCTGACAGCATCCCCAGGTCTCAGAGACCAACACGGGGTTGGCGGGGGGCTGGGGGGGTGATGCTTAGGCTGCCTGTGATGATCCAGCTTCCAGATCCTGAACAAAGCCTTAGGACCTGTGATAGGGTCAGGGGCCTTACAGGGGTGTTGGGAGAATCAATGGGCTCAAGGCTAGGGCTGAGCACAGACCAGGGGCCTAGGAGAGACAAGTGCGATGAGCTGCCACTCGTCACAGTGTCCAGGAAGGCTGTGGGCCCCGCCTGTCCTCTACCCAACCCCCATCCAGAGTGTGGGGCTGGCAGGGTAGGGCCGTAGGACCGGCTGTTTTGTTTATGCTCCCAAAGGTCTCCCTAGGGCTGATGGCAGTGCGGCTGTGTTTGCTTTCACATTCCAGATCAAGCTGGAGCCGCCCCCGCCCCCACAGGGCCCAGAGGCTTGGGAGGCACCGGCTGGAGCCTGGGCAGGAGCCCCAGTGAGGGAGCAGAGTGAGGGGCCGAGGATGGGGCCTGCCTCCCATCTTCCCTGCCCTCCATGGAAGGCTCATGGTGCCCTGAGGGTTCCCCCACCAACACCCCAGGGCTCTGCCTCCGTTTACCTCTGGCATCCTGCAGTAGGTTCTGGGCTGGGGGTGCAGGAGGGCCGTGCAGGCAGAGGCCAGACCCCAGGGTCCCCACCCAGCCGGGGCCTGAGGTAGTGACCACAGCGCTGAGTGGCCAGCGGCCACCGGTGCTCAGTTGAACATGGCGGTGGCCGGAGGGAGCGGGCGGCCAGCAGCTCAGGTTTCCTGGGCGCTTGGGGCTCAAGTGCGCGTGCAGATGAGACTGTGCAGGGTGGGGGTGCTCACTAGGGCCTTTTCCTGTCCCTCTACCTCCCTGTGTGTGGCCAGTGACCCTGGGCCAGGCTGGGGGCTGTACTGAGGGAGGGCCAGCCTCCAGGCCTTCGAGCTCACCCCCAAACCCCAAATCGGACTGTGGCCACCCAGCTGTGGGACCAAGCGTGTCTCTCCTCACAGGGTGGTGCCTTACCTCAGTCTCTAGGCCCTCCCACCCCTGGGGAACACCTTCTTCCGGTCCAGCCTGTGCCCCTTCTCCATGACCCCTTCCCTGACCCCCCAAAGCCTGCCCCCTTGGAACCCCCCCTGCAGGCCACCATCTGCCCCATAACCCCAGGAATTCCAGGGACTGGGCTGCTGCTCCTCAGTCCCCCAGGGGCTCAGCCAGGCATCCTGGGCTGAACTTGGGGCTGTGAGACCCCTGGGTGCTCCAGGAGCTCACTTATAGACTCAGCCCCTCTCCAGACACACCTGGAAGTACAGGTGTGCAGCTCTGACGTGCCTCTCAGGTTCAGGCTGTCAGAGCACAGGTCCCAAGGCTGGCCGGGGCCATGCGTGGCCGTGGAAGTGTGACATGAGCACACCTGGTGGTGGAATTGGGACCGGGTGGCAGCGGGGCATCACATGGTCACAGAGACCAGACATCCAAACGTACGCTCGCAAACAGGCTTCATGGACCCGTGCGGTGACCCATTGTGTGAAAGGACGGCCCTCAACACCAGGCCCTGTGGCCTCTTCCCACACCCTCCACAATGGTTCCAGGAAGTGGTCTCTCAAGGCCCCCAGGTGGGAAGCAGGACTGTCGGGGGGGACAGCTGGGGCCATGAAGCCAGGCTGAATGCAATCACTTCTGGTTCGAGACCGTACTGGCCATCTCCCTGCCTCAACCCAGCACGGCTGCCTCTCACTGCACAGCCAAGAGGTTTCTCCTAACATCTGACCTAAGTCCCTCTCCTTACGATCAGGGTCCAAGGAGCGCCAAACTTGGCACTAGACCCCTCAGGTTGAGGGGCTGCAATGGGGGACGGTGGGGAGACAAGGCTGGCAGCAAGGCGACCCAGGGGGAAGGCCCGCGGGGAGGCCCAGCACCATAGTAGGTCAGGAGCGGGTGCAGGCTGGGCCTGGCCGCATTGCTCACATTCCTCGCTCCTGCCCTGGCTCAGAGCACTTCCTGTTGCCTCCCAGCTAGGCCCTCAGGCTTCCACAGGCTTCCAAGCCCCGATTCCCTACCAGGCAGCCACAGAGCTGGACAAGCCCTAGTCTCCTGGACATGCCTCTAACCAGACAAAGAGGCTGGCATGGGGGTACCCCTGGAGCCAGGCTGTACCACCCCCCAGATGGTGACTCACCAGCCCTGGCAGAAAAAGGCCCCCATTGTTGCTCAGGGTCCAGCCTGCTCACACCAGGGTCACCAGGGTCCCCAGCGTCCCCTCTCCCAATCCTGGGGGACAGAGACTAAGCTGGCTGCCGGTTTCCTCATTGCCCACCCTGCCCCCACCCCACCTGACCTGCACAAGCCTCCGGGATGGGCTCCGTGGAAGGGCTCCTGGGGCCGGGGAGGGTGGTGTGGCACTCCCAGAGCGGGCCATAGGAGGCGGGACAGAAGCGGCAAGCGGCGAGCGTCCAGCTGGAGTGGCCTGAGCTCTCCAGCCAGCCCAGGCTGCCACCCCATTTATCCACCTCCCACTGTGGCCCAGGCTCCCCAGGGACGGGTGGGGACATAGGGCTGAGTCACTTTGAGGAGCAGGGTGGTGGCTGAGCCCCCCTCCCCTTCTCAGGCTCCAGCCGGGTGTCCCCCACCGGCCAGGTTTCCGTCCCAAGAAAGGAAGGAAGGAAACTGCTGGGAGGCCCTGCCCTGCTCCCAGGACCCAGGGCTGGGGAGACAAGGAGGCAAAGGAGGGGACCCTGACCTGAGAACATAAGACAGTCCTGCTGCAGCTCACGGGGGGATGGGGAGCAGGAACCAGGGAGCCCCAAAAGCCCTCTTGTAGGCACCACGTCCTGTACCAGGCGGTCACCCTCTGCAGGACTCTCACCTCACTTACTCTCAGCCCCCAAAGGCCTCCAGAACTGGAGGTGGAGGCATGGGCTGGCTGTGAGGGGGAGGAGGGCCTGGGGTCTATCACACCCCTGCAGCCCTGGCACCGCTGGCTGCCCCGTCGCTGTTCGGGGCGGTCCCCCATCATCACTGTCACGATCAGCTGCACTGCAGCTGCGGCCACCCCAGCCCAGTCTGAACGGGGCTGAGTCACCACTGACAGCCCTGACAGCTCCCGGAAGGGAGGGGCCAGCCACATCAGTGTCCTCCCCTGCCCACCCCCTCCTCCCTGCCCAGGACAGGAGGACACTGAGGCTGAGAGAGCCAGAAGGGCCCTTGGGGCCTGGACTCCCACCTCAGCCCTTCCCCCCACAGGGCATGGAGGGTGGGCCCCTTCATCCCTCACCGTGAAGCAAACAACACACATCTCTCCCCAGTTCTCCTGACCCACTGCTGTTGAGGCCCTATCAGGGCATAGCCCTGTATATAAGCATCGTTCACGCAGGCTCCCTCACAGCCTGTGATGGGCGGAAGCTAAGCCTGGTTTGTGGAGGTCAGCGGAGGTCCAGCTCTTCCTTCCCATGCTCTGAGCTCAGCCGATTAAATACCAGGTCTCTGGCTGGGAGGGAAAAGAGAGACCGTGCCCTCAGGGACTCCCCTGACCTTATGGGGTCCCTGTCCCCCTGCCAGCCCCAACCACGGAGGGACCTGCCAGATGGGCCCCACTCTTTTCCTCTAAAATTACACCAGCAGCAGGCTTCCCTGGTGGCACAGTGGTTAAGAATCCTCCTGCCAATGCAGGGGACACAGGTTCGAGCCCTGGTCTGGGAAGATCCCACATGCCACGGAGCAACTAAGCCCGTGCGCCACAACTACTGAGCCTGCGCTCTAAAGCCAGAGAGCCACAACTACTGAGCCCATGCGCCACAACTACTGAGCCTGCACTCTAGAGCCCGCGAGCCACAACTACTGAAGCCCGCACACCTAGAGCCCGTGCTCCGCAACAAGAGAAGCCACCCCAATGAGAAGTCCGCACACTGAAACAAAGAGCAGCCCCCACCCGCCACAACTAGAGAAAGCCCATGCGCAGCAATGAAGACCCAACACAGCCAAAAATAAAATAAGTTGAATAAAAATAAATTTAAAAAAAATACACCAGCGGAAGACCCCTCCTAGGGCTTCCTGCAGCCCCCAGAGCCTGAAATAGTGGAGGGAGAAGGTCCCACCCAAGGACAAGGTGCCTCCCCACCCTCCAGATAAGGCCTGAGGGCAGAGTTTTCCACAGGAAGGTGAACTCAGCCGTTTGTGTCTAAATCAATGGACAAACGCCTAGGGGGAGGGGTGCTTCCTCCTGGGGGTGAGATGCCCTGGGAAGGAGGGAGACTCCAGCTCTCAGTCTGGGGGGGTGGTCAGCCAGTGCACCATCCCAGGGCTCCCCTGAAATCACAAATCTGACCCTAACACCCCCTACTCTGGCCTTCAGTGGTCCTGGGGCAAAGTCCAGACTCCAGGACTTGGCACTGTGGCCCTAACCATCATCCCCAGCCTGCCCTAGAGCCACAAAGAACAAAAAAGTGGGGCAGGGGTTCATGCTCATGCCTGTGCCCAGGCTGCCTCCCCACCGGGAATGCCATCCCCTCCAGGAGAAACACAAGGCCCCACAGGATCCAGGTCACAGGCATGGCCAGCTCGCCTGGGAGACATCCGGGACAGGGACAGGGCAGGTGTCAGGGTCCCCTGCACACCCAGAAATGTCAGATCTCACACCTCCACCAGCCCCAGGCCAGTGGTTCTCAAAGTGGGCTCTGGGGAGCCCCTCGGCTTGAATCTTCCTTTAAGGGATTTTTCTCTTTAAAAAAAAAATGAAGAAGGTAGTAGGGGCACAAAAGACAGAAGGTAGTAAGGGCATGGGGCTTCCAGGAGGGCAGGACAAGCAGGCTCTTCCTCCTGGCATCCAGGTGCTGCCCCAATAGGGCCACTGCCCAGCCCCTGCTACCTAGAAAGAGACAGAACTAGACTCCCCACCACCACCACCTCCCCCTTCCCCAGCTCTTCCCCAGTTAGCTTTTCCTGTCTGGAGGGGGCAGCAGGGAGAAGGGGGAGGTGCCCCAACCCCTGCAGACCCCAGAGCTGAGGACCCAGCTTAGAGAGTCTCCTCAGCTGCCACCATGGAGGAGGGTCAGTCCCTCTGAGGCCTTCAGAGCACAAGCAGGTTCCTCAGACAGACGGACAGACAGACACCCAACACAGGCACAGAGCTGAGCACGCTCAGTCCCGGAACATCCCAGCAGCCCCTCCCCAGGTTCCTCAGCCCCTAGGCCAGGGAGGGGGTGGCTTGTCAGAATGACCCTTCCTAGGACAAGTGGCTCTGAGGAGCATCCTGGGGAAGAGGGCCAGAGACAGGGGCTGTGGACCAGGGCCAGGTTGCCCTGACACTACCTGATTTAGAGCACAGGCTGAGGGCAGAAAGAGTGGCTCCAGGTAGCCAAGAGGGTTTTCACCAGGGGCAGAGAAGGGGCCCAGAAGGGCAGCAGAGACGGAGACAGATACTTCTGGAGGTGACCAGAGGCAGAGACTGCTGTCAGGAGGACAAGAAAGTGGTTCTGGGAGAGCCCAGGTGGTCCCTGTGGGCAGAGCCCACCATACCTTCTGGGCGACCTCAGAGCTGAGGCTGCCCCCTCGTGCCCAGTCCGGCTTTGGCTCCCAGGGGTCGTGGGCAGGCGGCAGCCCTCGCTGGGCCATCTCCTCGGTGCAGGTCAGTTGCCGCCGGCGGAGCTCTTCGTCCGTCTCCTTGTCCACCACCAGCAGCCGAGTCTGCCCCTCCACGGCCTTGATCCTCTGCACCACCTGGGACAGGTGGGTGGTGGGAGGTCATGGCCAGCACTCCAGGCAGCAGGCAGCACATGGGCAGCGGCACCACCCAGGGCTGGCCCAGGGCTGTGGGCAGGCTGCGAGCCTACCAGGGGCAGGGGTGGGCGGCTGGATCGAGAGGCCCGCTGGCTCCGCCCCCCACCCCCACTCCAGCAGCTCCCTCCCTCTTCTCCTGGGGCTCCGGACACAAGTGCCCAGGCTGCAAAGGGCTGTGGGGGCCTCACAGGGCCTCACCTCGGCCCAGGAAGTGACAAAGACGGTGCTCGGCTGAGCTTCGGGTTTTCAGTATGCGTGTGTGCATGTGTGCGGCCTGCACCCTGCAGCCTTCTGTTTCAGGGTGTCTCTAGGTCTGGGTTTGAAGGAGAGAACTGTCTCCCTGGGTCCCAGTTTCAGTGTGTTTGTGCCTTTTTCTGTCTTTTCCAGTGGTGGAACATAGTGGTCTAAACCCCTGCCTCTAGGCCTTCCATTCTCTTCCAGATCACGACAATGGACCTATTCCTACTGGACCTGCGGAGAGAACACCTGGGTTCCTGTGGCAAGGCACCTCCTCAGGTACCTACCCACAACCCGGAAAGCAGGATTCAGACACAGCAGGGAGAGGTGGGGAGGGGCAGGTCCACCTGTGGGACAGGTGTGGTTACACAGGTGTCTGTGAAGTATCTAGAGCATGTGCATGGTGACGGCGCATACATGCTAGTGTGTGCCCGCAGGAGGGGCAGTGCCCACTGGGCATTGGGGAAGGAAAGGCAATACCCCACCCCTACCCCAAGGCCTGGGAAAGGACAGACAGGGCCCCCACCAGCTGCTCAGTAGATGTTGTCAAAAGATAGGAGGGTCTGAACCAGGCCCATCTTTGCCCCAGCTCTCCTCTGTACCTGTCTTTCCCCATGAGCCACAGAGTCACAAGAGGACTCCAGGACCCTCATGCTTCCTGACTGTGGGACCCAGACGAGTCACCCAGTATCCCCAAGCATCAGTTTCCTCATCTGTAAAATGGGAGCCGTAACTGTACCTTCTCCCTCTCGAGACAGTGGGGAGGTCTCAAGTGGTCCTGTGTGAAGTTCTTAAAGAACAGCACCCCAGGAGGCCTGGGATAAGCATTGCTCTAGGGGCAAGGGTGGCAGCAACTGTTAAACAGAGGCCAGGCGCCAGCTCTACCAGGCCCTCCCTATGGCCTGTCAATCCAAGCTCTCTGGCCTTGACCCCCACCCTCCAGCAAACAGCCTATCCAGCTGACACTCTGGGTAAAAGACAGAAGGACGGCAGACAGATGGACAGACAAAATCTCCAAGGGTAGAAGTGAGAGTTCAGCTCCCAGCCCAGCCAATTTACTAATCTCTAGGCCCAGGCCTGGCCACACAGACAGGTGTTGGGGGGACACAGAGGAGCCTGAGTAGAAGGGGTGGAGGAAGACTGGACCCAAGCCAGGTGACTCCCTGGTCAGTGGGAGACGGACACCCCCCAGGGGTCAGAACCTGCAGAGAACCTCCCTCTGGCCTTTATCTTCAGCTGCAAGGGGCAGGGGGCTGCAATCAGTGACCCCTGCCAGGCCATCCAGCAGCCTCTTTGGAGAAGAATGTGCTGCCACAGCGGTGACTCCCACCAGGACCCAGACACCATCAGCCAGGACACACACTAGTACACTGGCTGCAGACACACTGACGACTACACATAGCCAACAGACACAGAGGCCGGGACACATATATACACAGCCACACACAGGAGGGTACACACACACACACACACACACACACATCCCCCAGTTCACAGACATCCAGGCATGCAGATCTGTATGCACACACATATATCTAGGGGTGCAGACCTGTATACTCATGTGCATACAGTCCAGCACACACACTCACTCAACTGACGCAGGCACACACAGGTGTGCCCTCCCTGTGACATCCCCTGCAGGTACACACACGAGGGACCCCAAGAGGGACCTGTACATTCACAGACATACCCAGTTGTGTACACACGCACATGTGTACACGCTGATAGAAAAGCACCCGGATCCCCAGGCACAGTGAGACCCCCGAGGGGCCAACTCCTCCACACATTGCGCTGAGGCCGGAACAAGACTTAAGAGCGAGGGCTGAGACACGGAGGAGCCGCAATGCGGGCCCCTCCCTGCCAGGATTCCACCCCCCACCGCCTCGCTCCGTGCAGGACCGACCCGGGCTGGAGGAGGCTAGGAAGGAGGCCGGTTGCCTCTGCCTCAGCGGCCACGTCCCCCACCTCTCCACGGGAGCCCACCGCAGGCCCTTGTGCGACCCCCCTCCTGGCCCGGAGAAGGGAACTGAGGCCTGGGCGCAGGCAGCCCCGAGCTCGGTGGTTATTGGCGCCCTCCGCGCGCGCGGGGCACGGACGCGCTCCGGGGATGGGGGCGGTGGGGGGTGGCGGAGCGGTGGGCCGGGGGTGGAGCACAGGCACCCACCTGGTGGTGCGTCTCACCCTCCACGTTGACGCCGTTGACCTCGACCAGCCGATCTCCGGCGCGCAGCGCGGCCGCCTCCGCCGGGGAACCGGGCTCCACGCGCCGAATGAACTGCCCGCGGCGGCCCTTCTCGCCGTGCAGGTGGAAGCCGTAGCCGTGTTCGCCGCGCACCAGGCGGCACAGACGCGGCCGTAAAGGCTCCGGTGCGGCCATGGTGCCGGCAGCCCACCGGCCGGCCAAGGGCTGGCCACGGTGCTCACGCCCGCCGCCAGCAGGCAGGGGCGCGGGCGGCCGGCTCGCGGGGAGGGGGGGCGGCGCGGAGGCGGCGGCGGCGCTGGAGACCCGGTGGTGGCCTCGGCGGCTCCCGCTCGGCTCCCGTCGCCTCCGGCTCCGGCTCGGGCTCAGGCTGCGGCACCGCCCCCGCGCCCGCCCCTTCCCCGCCCCCTCCGCCCTGCCGCCCCCGC